TTAGGTCATTGCCACAAATGTACGAGGTGGCCATCAATAACTTTCTGCTAGTTTTTCCTCCTATATGTAATCTGGTCACACAAGCTCACTGCAGGAGAGACTGGGGGAAAATTATGGCTCCCTCATGTCCCAGGTCCCAATGATCCCACACACTGTGTCTGCGAACTGAGATCAATACCTGCTCAGAGGAGGTTTTAGCACCTTTTAAAAATAGCCCCCACAAAGCTTTTTGGTCTTGGTGTGTTAAATGAAACGTCCCCGGGCTACAGCCATAAGTGGCGCTGCAGTTAATGGCCATCATTGTCTGATTTGATGGTCACAAACAAGGTCGTTGCAGCTGCATATAGAGTCATATTCCTCAAGCAAAATGTTTTAACATTGACTGAAAGCTCTAATGTTGAAACTTTATAGCCGTTCTGCTGCCTCTCTGCTGGTGTTGATAGTCCCCATTTCCCCTACTCCACTACTGTACCGCTTCCTCAACATCCAGGCTTTCATTCCTCTGTCAAACGGCTCAACAGGCCGACTTGTGATCACCCTGATGGATGAGCAAATGAGGATGGGAGTCGTGAGCCTCACACTCGAGCTTGTGGAGGTTCAGCGCCCCGCTATGCCCACGCACAGCCCTCCAATCGCCTCCAGACTTTGACACATTATTTCCCCTGTGATTTGTGGCCAGATTGAGGTTGAAGGAGACAAGGAAATTTTCTGTCCTCATGAGAGCAGATGGATGTTGCAGCGCTGCAGCCTGAGCCGAGGGTTGTTTCTTTTTTTTTCCTTTTTTTTTTCTCCCCCTCTTCAAGAACCATCTTGCTTTATAAGGGATTGGTTTCATGCTCCATAATGGAGTCTTGATGACTAGCTATTACAGCACATTTCCGGAAAATGACCTGCCATTTGGTTTTTTTTTTTTTTCTAGAATGGCATAGAACAGACTGAATGTCCTTTCAAGAAAGTGATGTTATTTTGTAAAATACTTAAAGTATTGAGTGGCAATAGAGACTTTCTCATTTGTCCCCTTTGTGCTGTTTCATACAAGATCAAAGTTGAGACCCCTCTGTTTGTGATCAAAGATGGACAGTAATGCCATGAAATGATTCGTGATGTAACATGCATGCAATTGGTAAAATGCGATAGGCTTGTCGGGGCAGCAAATGGCCACCGTCTTTTTTTCATCCGCCCCGCCCCCACCCTCACATGTTTGATCTCGTCTCTGAGAAGCGAAGGCCTCCGGCTGCTCCCTTGGGACGTTTGATGTTGGAGATCAGAGCTCGTGGTGGTGCAGGCACTTTGGCTGTGGGGGCTTCACCATTATGTCGCGCCACATCCAATCTTCTCACCATCAGATAACTTCAAAGAGTCTCCGAAATACCACCTTCCTAAAAATCCAGAGTTTCCCACTGGTGTTGTCTGTTAGATTAGCAGCAAGTTATTGAAGTTTCCTGGAGAAAAAAAAAAATGTCTCTGACTCCATTGAAATCTGTCATCACCTCACACTCTGAGATGGTGTTACACACCACAGATTTTTTTTTTTCATCTCTTGTCTGATTCTTTCTCTCTTCTGTGCATTGATCTCCAGCTCTGCCCCGCCAATGGCTTCTCCTCTGTGAGACCTTTCCTTGTCCTCCATCTCTTATCCATTATTCATCACTCTCAGCTCCTTCTGCCAGGCCGTAATACCTCTCACCTCTAGACGATCATTTTGCTGTTTCTCAATGTATGGAACAGTGACGCCTCAGCTGCGGCTTTATCAGTGGAGATGCTGAAACAGAAAGGTAGATTATTATATTTGTGCACAGTAGACACCTTGATAAAAGCAAGACAAAACATCAGCACACTAACATGCTCACAATGATGATGCCTGCCGATGGTCAGCAGGTGTAATATTTATTTATTTTGTTCACCATCTTAATCTAGCATGTTAGCATGCTAACATTTGCTAATTAGAACAAAACTCAAATTGCAGCTGAGGCTGATGGGAATGTCATTAGCTTTGCAGGTATTTTATCAAAAACCAAGGTGCTGGACAAAAACTTTGACCTGATGGTGGCGCTACAAGAAAAGTTGGGGGATCACCAAAGTTATTAAATTATACATTACCTGGGAACCACGAATGTCTGCATCAAGTTTTGAGCCAATCCTTCAAATAAATGTTTAGATATTCCACATTTCCTCATTTTACACTTTTAAAAAAATGATTTAGATATCCATAAGAAGAAATAATTGTGGTTTTAAGTTAGTCAGAACATGGTGTGTCAGTCTCTGAGCCTCTCTTCTGATTGGCTGACTGTTTCCTGAGTCATGCACAACCAGGCCAACCATAGGGAATGGATTGTAGCCTACTACTGTAGCTTGGTAAAACTCACTGGGAAATACAAATGGCGATGGTTAGTCAGCGGCTGAAATGAGCCGTTGACTGAAAAAATAAACTTCAGCCACTGATCTCTAATGTTATTGTCTTTGGAAAAGCTGTGGCTTCCTGTCATTCAATGATGCTCTCCTGGACATCTTTCTGTCTTGTGGCTTGCTAGCTCAGCGACGGATTGACCACTTAGTGTTGTCTTGTTATTATAGTCGCTGTAAAGGATGTTGTTAAGCTTGTTGGGTTGTTAGGGCGGGCTGTGCTGGAGGCATGGCTGAGGGCGTTGACTGTATGTGCTGACGGCTCGTTTCTGAATGTGGCCTGGATACATCTCCCCATGGATTGATTATTTTGTTACTCGCAGTAATATAAAGTCTAGACCTGCTTTATAATAAAAAATAAAAAAAAAACATGAAAATCTCACTGTCTTCAACATGGGACCTTTAATAAGTAAAAATATAGATTTTTCTCCAGCACCATCAGGAGGTCAGACGATCATCAAAGTCAGTAGAATTTATTCTCTGGGGACCTTAAATATCTTTAGCAAATTCCATGACCATCCATCCTTTAATAGTCAAGGTTTTTCACTCTGAACCACAAGCATCAACCTGCTGGTGCAACTTGATAAACAGTCAGGGCATCACCAGTATCATTCATCCCGTGGGGACCATGAACGTCTGCAAAAATCCATCCAATAGTGGTTGAGTTATTTCAGTGGGAACCAAACTTGTGGACCAACTCACCGACCCAAAATCGCCATCCCAAGAGTCGTGTTGCTGGCACAGCTAAAAAAAAAAAAGTGAGGGGCAACTTTTCAACCGTGTGCCATCTCAAGTTTTCTAAAGTACGATGGCGTAATGACATCAGATTCAGTGAAAAATAGAAATTCTGCGTGTCAATTAGCAAAGATTAAGTGTTAATCTCTGCTAATTGACTATCTCTGGAGAAGGGGCGTCAGAGAGATCTTATCATGCTCATCACATCTGAAGTGAAGGGAAGAGGTTACCGTGAGTCATCTGTATTCAGTCGAAAACAAAATGATTGAATTCAACACTGTCTTCCCTCCATGTTATGAAGTTTCTCTGCCACTGCAGAAATGTCTTCTCACTGTGACAGTGCCGTCGTCTCTGTCTCACTGGTCAAACAACATCAAAGTGACCTGAGTAAGATGCGCTTTTATGTTAGACTTTTTTTTCATTTAACTTTCTGCGTTTTCATGCGGATGGAGGTTTGTTAAGAGTGATAAATACCTGTGTATATACTGTATACACTGGATGCTGCAAAATGACAGAGATAGATATGCTGCAAGTAATAGCTTTCATTTTCTTATATTCTGCATCACATGTAACAAAGATCTACATAAAACCCAAATTTGGTGAAGGAAGTGATCTGCACCAGTGATCTGTACAGTTAATGATATCACGGTCTCCAAGATGTAAGACTTGAACCAAACAGCGAATGATCTGAACAAAAAAAGCCAACTGTCACAAAGTCAGACACACGATCAGACTCAGAACAGACAGGCAGAGAACAGAAACGTCAACTGTATCTCTAGAGGAGAAAACAACTGTCTGAAATCTCTTCAAAGAAGCCTCTCAATTACTCAGTTAAGTTGCATCAAGTGCACATGCAGTGTGACTACTGACAAGAAGTACAGTGTTGGCAAAATCAGAGAAAAATATATTCAGAAAAAGTTGTGTAGGATGTGTTCTTTCATGTACGGCTGATGTCTATATGTCTATATTGATTTACATTGTGAATAATCAGTGCAACTTTAAGCAGTTTACTGTTACACTTTACTGACAGAGGTAGACAGGAAGGTCAGGGAGAGAGAGTGAGGGGATGACATGCAGCAAATGGCCGTGGGTCGGATTCAAACCCCACGGCCACTGCGGTTAGGACTAAGCCCATGTGGGAGGCGCTCTACCAGGTGAGCCACCGAGGCGCCCCATATACCATTTTCGTTTATCTGAAATACTTGAACTTGGCTTCCCCTTATTCCCTCATCAAAATCAAATCAAGTTGCAGATTTGATTTCACAGTTTCACGATGCATTAAACTTTGCTTAAAGACTCACACGCGCAATGACTGTTGGATGCACCAGATATTCCCGCTGCCCTGCCTCTTTGGCTCAGTTGTATAGAAAGTTGAGGTTGTTACTTGTTCTGTGACGAATCTTTCCATCAAGGTTTATGCAACTCACATTACTGCACGTTGAAGCTTTCCCAGTGTGATAATGCATTTATACAGTGTCTAAAATACATTTAGAAACATAAGCTTTCATAAGCTTTATATATAAAATGTGTATATTTATCATACTGTAGGCTGTATATTATATAAAAAAATGTGTCACCTTACTTTTTCTTGCCTGGTTGTTATTGTATATTTCCTGTTATACACTGTGTTAGTTGTTTTTATACAGTATATAATTGTTATAAGACGGCGTACTGCGTTTGGCAGCTGAGGCTGCTGGCAGATTTATGATGCAGCTGGTGAGCCTCCACTTTTTTGTTTACCTTTCAAGTCAAACTATTAAACTACTGACAATAAAGAAATGAAAATTAAGATCTGACCCATCTTATGATATGTATGCATTTCTCAGACTTGTCATTAAGTGCTCTCTCCATCCTCTCCACAGAAGAAGTCTCTTATCGCCACCAGTCTGATCGTGGCGGTGTCGCTCTTCGTGGTCGTGGTGAACTACTCGGAGAAGCCGTACTTCCTCCTGCAGCCTGTTTTCGGTCAGACGTTCAGCAGCCACTGGATGTTCTCCAAGCAGCCGTACAAGGCCTTTAAGCCTCACCTGGGCTACGTCAGCATTCCCAAACAGGAGGTGAGGGACATTAAGTACAGATACACAGTAAGAGATACACAAGTACATGTCAGCAAAACACAAACACAGTCACAGCACGAGCCCAGCTGGGCAGACACACCATGTCTCGTTTGATATTTCTGTTTCTACTCTATTTTCAAATTGTTTTTTCAACTGAAATATGTCATATGTAATTTTTTTTATGTTGCTCTGTGAAATCAGCTGCTTTGTAGTCTCATTAATCTTGGCAGAGTCTTGCTCAGTTATATCTGAAAATGCTAATCGAGTCAAAGTAGAGCCGTCACACACAAAATGACTTAAATGAGCTGTACATTAGTGTGAAGTTACTTTCACAACATAAAATCTACAACATCTTATGCCATTTTAGTGTGTAATGTCACACTTAATTTAGTGTGCAAATAACAAATTACCAAGGACATTACCTGTTTGGTTGAGGACAGTTCTATTCAGCTAAGCTGATTGATCGAGTGGCTGAAACCTTTATTTCCACAGAGAAAACTCAAGGAGAGAAAGCCGTTTTTGTTTACAGCAGAACCATATTTACAGAGTTCTACAAATAATTGTCATGATTCTCAGAAAAGTGACGCAAGAGAAGGACTCAGGAGGAAGATGTAAGAGTACAGAGTCTGCACTTTGAGAAAAACTAGGATGCCAAAATCCAAGCAGGCAAGCAAAGTACAAAGGGTCAGAGTGAAGCAAAATCCCCAAAAAACACACACAAAGTCGAAAACATGATCAGGCTCAGCGCAAGCAGGCAAAGAACAGAGAGAAATAACTGGCACGAAGACAATCTGGCAGAGAGCAAGTAAAAATGGGCCAGTGTATGTTTAAACTAGGGAGCTAATGAGGTAATGGAGCGCAGGTGAGTGGGGAGGAGGCGCAGGTCAGGTGATTCTACTGGCGGGAAAGGCAGGCAGGCAGGTGGGAGGCGGCAGGGCCTGAAAGGACAGCAGAGTAACAACATGTATGCACAAACAACGGGGCTGAATGAAGGAAAGGATTTAGGGAGCAGACTGAAACTCGGAGGTGAGTGTGACACCCTGTAGTGAAATGATAAAAATAAATGTGACGGCTGATAAATGATGATAAAGGACAAAGTGGTTATGTTGCAGTGATCTTGGCAAACTGCAGGGAAACTTCTAAGTGTTTGAAGTTGTTCCATCTGTAGGGTACAAAATAACTAGGAGCTGATTGATGAACATTTACAACAGCACAGGCAAAATCCTGGAAGCTTTAACTTTCATGTAGCCAACATTTCTTTCTTTCTTTCTTTCTTTCTTTCTTTCTTTCTTTCTTTCTTTCTTTGCATCCCCATTAACTTCCACACAGTGGTCGCTAGTCTTCCACACACAAAAAAACATGAACATCATTTCATGTAAAAACTTTTATTTTCACATATGCATTTCAGCATGCATCCCTGCTGAAATCATTCACTCTTACGGTGAAAGCACTAAACGTCTAATGTTTTACAATGAACCTTCTTACATTTGCCTTATTTCGGCGCGAGTGTTATAACTTACAGCATGCGCAGGTAACCTTTTCTTTTATGGTGCATTCATATTCTATAGCCCTCCATTAACATTAACCTTCCATCACACAGCATCCTCACGATAATGAAGGTGTATTCAAATGCACTCATGCAAATGCACGGCACCTCCTTGAGGATTTTTTTATTTATTTTATTTATTTTATTAGGGGTCTCTGTGATGGATCAGAAAACGCCTGTTTGATGTCTCTTGTGTGCATTATTTCTTTGTAATTTTAAACACCCATGTCCGTGATCCTATTCTTCATCCTTCCTTCAAACAGCTCTGTGCTGTATATTCCCTGCACAGTTTATGGAAATTGAAATATCAAAGCCTTTTAACTCCCACCACATCAAAATGTAAAAACCAAGCTGTGTATATGTTATTTGGGGAGGCAGCTGGCGAAAACTGAAATTGTGCTCATATTGGTGGAAATGGAGTAGTCACGCTGGAAAATCATACATACCGCTCGCAGAGATGCGTGCAACGTTTCCGGCTGACGGGGGAATGAGGATTGCGCTTTCAGTTTGGGCTGCGATACATCTAGGGTTGAAGTTGCGACGGATGCGTTGGTCCTTCATGGAAAGTGCATGCCTCATATTCAGCAGGCTGATATTGGCAGATTAATGCGGAGTGTCATCCCCCTGCCTCCGGAGAGGTTCATCCACACAACATGGGCCCAGAGGCAATCATGTCTTACACCAGTCTCCACGACTGCACCTCCTCCTGCCTCCAGACAAGCCTGCTTAAATCACTGCCCTCTCCTCATGGATATTTATGCAAATCATACGGAAAGACTGGCAGTTTCTGCAGAATTAGGCTTCCTTTCAGCTCATATTACCCCGCCAGTGAGTTTTCTGTAGCGAATCAGAAGGGGCAGTGATTGGCCTGAACGTGAGTGTCAAAAGTGTTCCTGCACGCTCCTGAAATCTCTGACAAAGGATGCACAGAATTGTGGAAGTCTGGTCAAGGTGATACTCTCATACAGGGTGTCGTAAGTGATTAAGTCCGGAGTGAAATCCTGCTGTGTGAGCTGTCAGCCTTTGTTAAGCACACAGCAACACCTTAAGAAGCAGTAATATTTCTCCCGGACAGTGAGGCAATCTTACCTGATCCGCAGCGAGGTGTCATTTGAGGTGTTATAAACCTCTGGCAAGCATGTATAATGCATAACCCGGCAGCATGGGAATGGTCTGCCTTATTTTCCTCATTTGATTGAGTCTGTCTCCAGGTGTGATAAATTGTTCCCGCTCTGCTTTTCAGGAGAAATAGAAAACATTTGTCTTGTGGCACTTTACATTCATGCCTCTGGTCTATCACAGACGGAGACAGAAACTCAATATTTTCATTTAGACCTGAAAACTTACAGGCCCTTTGAAATGTACACAATAACCAACATGGAGGAAAGTGCTTCTACTTCTTGGACCATGTCCAGCTGTTAGTAGATCCATTATAAAGTTTTTGTGTACAATCCTCCCTAAGTTCCAATGAGCTAATTAGCTACCAGCTAGTTGCACCATTAAAACTCGAGGAGTTTCTCAGCTAGTAAAGGCTTCAGTGATGTGTAAATCATTAGCAAGGAAACATCTGTAGATGCCCTCTGATCAAAAGCATTAAACAGTGTAAACAGGAAATCACTGTAGCATCAGGAGCTGCAGCAGAACTTCCAATAAACAAACAAGCCTTAATGGAGGGGGCCAGTGCTTGTATTAAACTAACTTGAGAATGAAAATGCAGCTTTGTTTTATTTATGCATGCATAAATGGAAATATGTGTGTTTCAGAGTTAGGTTAGTTTGGTTTAATGGGATATTTTGCATCCAAAACTGACATTTAATTTAATTTAATTGCCCTCTTGTTTCTATTAAACAGAGTTTTCATCAAGTGTCAGGTCAGATATATGTCCATCATATTTACCTCACATGAATGGGTGATATCGTTAGCTTTGTCAGTCAGCTACACATCTAATCTCTGTGATGATACCTGACCAGCATGGCTAAACCTCAGCTCAGTCAGTTGAAATAATTCTTTATTTTTTTCTGATTTGTTTTTTCCGAAATGACATTTCACACATGTACTGCATTTTTCTTGTTAAGTGAAATGTGTGTGCCCCATGAGGAGCATTTGGAATGAATCACTTTTCACCATGCAGACGGATGCAGCTAATCGATGAATTTTTAAACACAAAAAGACTTCCGAGTCCCAGGGAGGCATCTTACGCTGGGAACTTGGCGTGTTAACGTAATAATTATTGCTTATTAATTAATCGTGTTTAGAGCGTTTTAATGAACGTCAAGGTTAAGTTCACATCCCAGTGGTATAATTTAATGAAGACCGTGTCCCCGGAATTAAGCCCTGCTTTTTTTTAAATAACCCACTTTATTTTTAGCACACTCATGCATTAAAATCTGAGGCTTTGCTGTGTGATTTTGTACTTATCACAGAGTGCCAAATTTATTGGGATTATAAAAGTGCTCTCTGTTTCCGATTATGGCATGCCACACTGAAACAGCGCCGTCGTGAATGTGAAAGTGAAACGTGAATCACAGCTGAGTGGAGGGAGAGGCTATAACATTTTATTGATTTACAGGATGTAATATTAATGGATTTGTCGGGAGCTGGATGCCAGTCCTGCAGTATGCGCTAAATAAAAATGCTCCACTCTGGTTTTTAGTTATAAATTTGAGCGTTTAGACACTTCCTTAATGCGTGTAAATGTGATTAGTGTTAATGGGAAGGTAATAATGTTCACTGAAACTAAGCAGATGCATGTTTTTATCTTTCAATGAACCTTTTTAATACAGAAAAAATACTCCTGCTCCTTTTTTCACCACTTGTTCATACAGTTTGTTTACAGAACCCTCTTCTATTGTTTGTCACTGAGTAGCTCTACTGTGGTAAATGCCTTGCTCTGAAGCTCTGAAGCTTTGAAGCTTTGAGGCTTTGAGGCTTTGAGGCTCTGAGGCTCCTCAGCGGTGGATTTTCCAGTCACACTGCACCCATGTGTCTCACATGCAGTTAGCCAGCCAGCGTTTTCAACAGAGCTCGGCCAATCTGTGTGTGCTGAGAGGCGTGATGGAGTTATGAGATGGGCTGAGGGGGAGCGGGTGATGATGGACGAGCTGCTGACAGCTCAAGGCTGCTGTGATGTGTGTCTCAACCACCCAGTAAATGGAGAGCTACCAGCCTAGGTCCAGGGATCATTTCTTGACCCATGATTAAATCCATTCATGGGAGAAAAGCCAATAGCAGGTAGCTCTGTAGGAGTAATTCACCCAAGAGTTCTGTTTTTGTACTGCTTCCTTTCTAGGCAGTTGATCTTCTGCGTCTTCTGTCTGTATAACAATGAGTCATATGAGTGCTGATAAGCCAAGCAGTTGTAATCGAATTTACTGGATTGTCTTGTGGGATTCTGTTTGCAGAAACACTAAAAACAGAACATGTAAGGGAGAGTTTCACATTCTCTGCCTAAAAACACTGCAACACAAATGCAATTTATATTCAAAGCAATGACATCACACTTATTCTCCATTAAGCAAATGATCAAACGGGGCTTAGTCATGACACAATGCTTTCTCTTTTCGAACTTTTCCTTGCATTCATTCACGTAAGTAAGTTTAATCTCATCAAAACAAACCGAGCATATTAGCTTCAATTAGGTAAATCTCTCATTTCAGATTCAGAGAAGGCTTTTTTCCTCCCTTGGCAAAGCGCAGCTAAGAGCAATTATTCAAGATTCATTACAAATCCCCTTTCTCCAGTAAAGTATAATAAGAAATACAAAAAAAAATATACAGTAAGATAAATGACGCAACTTCCTTGCTTCTCTGCGCCGCATTGTCGCAGTAAGTCTCTGCCGGAACTCTGAAGTCCCACATTCAATTAACTTAATCAACGTTAGTTCTGGGCACAATGACATTAATCTCAGGACATAAAAGAAAGTTATACAGGGCTGTAAAACCCCCGATGAATTTTATTTTTATATGTAATTTCCAAATGCATTTTACTTTATGTTCTGATCACACAACTAGCTTGCCAAAACCTCACTTTAATCTTATTGCACACACATAAAATATATCATCATAAGATAAAAAATAGAACAACATGAGAGGCAGTATGTTTTAGAAGAAAAGTACACTCGGAGGTCGGCATTTCGTTTTAAGAAAAAAAGCTTGATTAAATTAAAATGGACAAGAACCAAACACACTTGCCTCCAGGTGAATTCAGCAGTCAAGGTCTTAATGGGAAAAATAATTGTTAATGAATTCATTTTAGAAGAATTTTTATCTCTTTTTTTTGTAATAAATAAGAAAAATAATGCTAAACATAAATTGGCCATAAAATTCTGCTGGAGTTGAAGGAGTGGACACTAGCTAAGATTTCAGATTTTAAATTCTTGTAAATGTTGTCGTCTTTGACAATTTTTCCAGACTTCTTGCATTTTTTGCTTCTCAGTGATGGAGGATGTTGCTACCTGTCTATACAAACACATACAAACAGGCTAAAAAGCCTTGCTCTGGAAGCTCTAAAAGTAAATGATAAACATACTTTAACACTGTGATATATTGCCTCTGTTGTGTGAGCTGCACCACAGACCTACCGATGTTCCCTCTGTTACTGATAGAGGTTGATAAAGGTTAAAGATGACTTTTTGTCTCATTAACCACGGCTGTAGCCTTGAGACTCGAGTCATACTAAAGTCACAAAATTAAGGACTTGAGACTTAACCTTGACATTTTAAATTACTTGAGACTTGACCTGAACATGTATAAATTGACTTGGACTTGTCTGTGTTAATTTGAGGTGTAAGACTAACCCTCATAGAGACTTAACTACGACTTACCTCAAATTATTTGAGACTTGACCTGGATTAGTCTTGCTTGACTTTGACTTGAGACTGGACTCGGACTTGTCGTGAATTACTTCAGACTTTACTGTGACTTGCCTGGATTGACGTTGACTTAAACCCTGAATTTGGCTGGTCACAAATGACCTTAGCTTTGACCTGGACTTGTTTCCATTGAGTTGAGTTTTGCTTTCTTTGTTAATTTTGAAAATTGAATAGAGATTCACTCTGACACACTGGAGACCTGACTCGGAGTTGTCTCTACTGACTTGTAACTTGGTCTTGTCTTAGTTGACTTTGACTTGTGATGCCTTGTCGCTGTTGTTGTTGCTCACCCTGACCTCTAACCTTTACAGTGCAGAATGCCAAAACCGTAGAAACAAAATGAAGAAAAGACTTAATATACAGCGACTGATAAAGATTTGTATTATTGTAACTGAATTGCCTCCTCTCCTCCAGCCCCTGAAGCTGCACTGTGAGCTCTGCAGCATTGTGTCCAGCTCCGGCCAGATGTTGGGGCAGGCTGCCGGCCCGCAGATCGATCGCTCTCCCTGCATCTGGCGGATGAACAATGCGCCATCTCGGGGGTTTGAGCATGACGTGGGCCAACGAACCACGTTGAGGGTCGTCTCCCACACCAGCGTCCCCCTGCTGCTGCAGAAGCCCCAGTACTTCTTCGGGCAGGGCAATGACACCATCTACGTGGTGTGGGGGCCGCTACGAAACATGAGGAAGGACGGGAAGGGGATCGTGTACAACATGCTGCGACAGGCTGCAGAGAACTACCCTCACGCACGCATCTACGTCACCACTGAAGACAGGATGAACTACTGCGACATGGTTTTCAAGAAGGAGACGGGGAAAGACAGGTGAGTCAGGGCTCAGTCTTCTGTATTTGTTGATCCTGTTTTTTTTGGCGCAGCGTCACTGCATTCCACAGCAGACGCTCCAATGTATCACTCTGACAAATTTACCTCTCAGTGCTTTGACATTCACTGTTCCGTTCGCCGCTATAATATCGACCTTATCGATGCTGATGGTCTGCTCAATGCTCGGCGCTTTCCTTGTCTCACATCCTCCCTTTCATGAGGCGTAATCAAAGTGAGTTACTCAACTTTCCCCTCTGAAGAGGATCTACACGGCCCCGGAGACAGTTTTCTCAAAAGAAGCTTTTATGGGGATCCTCAGAAGTATGTGTTGTCTGGGTTATAGGCATCAGCCAAATGCTGGTCTGGGGAAATCTGGTTAATGAGGTAGCATTATTCTGGCAGTCTTTCTAAACACTCTAGTAGCAGCTGGTCTCACAACTTATCCAACTGTGTCTTGGCAGATTCTGAAAGTGCAAAAATGGAGAAATTGTTCAAGCTGCAGATCAGTGACGGGTAACCTGGAAGGTCTGCAGAGGATAGGTGAAATTTATCATCGATGTTTAGCATTTGGCAGAAGATACGCAACAATTGCACCCGGTAATTTAAAGACAGACCCTATTCCCCAAAGAGAATCACAGGTTAATGACTAAGAGAACCAGGCTCCAAGGCCCACTATTGTTCGGGACGAACCTCATTTCTCAGACTGGCCCTCACTCACTTCCACAGAGCCCCACACCCCTGTCTCTCCCACATGTCATCAAGACCTCTTTTAACTTCTTAAGAGGATTAACATGTTCGGTAATAGGCACAGCATCCATTCCATTTCAGTGCCATTGTCTTGCTCTTTTTCAGGATGGCAGGGTTAACACTGAATTTCATGTAGAGTGTGCATGTTCAGCTTGACTCAGCTTTTCCGAAGGTCTGCAAAGCGTTGGATAGAGACATGGGATTAGGGAGGGATGCTCGGGGAGAAGAATCTCATTACAGGACATAATGCTCCTGGGTGTGATGCAGCGCTTCAGTCATTACTGATTGGTAACAGAGACCAAACCCGGGGTGTAACAATGAACCGGATCTAATGAATATGTGACGAGCGCTGAGAGGATTTTCTATACGTCTCTGTCTCTGCCTGTCCGTGACTATATGTGCTCGCCTGAAACAGCAGCTTTTGAATTAGCCTGAAAGACAGCAGTAACACTGCATATTATAATGTAATCAGAGGGAGGGAAGGGAGTAACAATCATTATATTGAGCTCATGCAGTATGATATCACTCCAGAAATAAACCAGCAATATAACACTCAATAAACAGCCAGATCGTTTTCTCTGCTGGATACATGTATTAACGTCTAAAAGTACACAACAACAAAACACTCTTTTAAAATACAGTCACTTGGAGCAGCTCATTTGCATTTACCCTGTCGTGTGTGTGTGTGTGTGTGTATGTGTGTGTGTGTGTGTATGTGTTTGTGTTCATGGGTTTACTGTCAACGCTTTCTGCTTGGTGCTAGGGATAATCATCAGCTTGCTGGAGATGGTACAGTGATCGAACACAGCTCTAATTATCCAGGTTGCCGTGAGCCGCCTGCACGACGCAACACCGGAGCGTCAGCTATGCAGATCAGGCGAAACACAGCGCCGGCTGACTGACTCACCAGTCGACCGAGTAACTCTCTCTCAGCCAGTAATTTAAAACCAAATCAGTCAGTCAAAGGGGTCTGTCAGGAAGCTCAGTCATTTCTGGACAGGGGCGTGGATATGAAACCTTAAGGAGACCCAGAGTTGGAGGAGTAATGATGATCTAAGTGGAGCTACAGTAACGACCACCACAATAGGTCAAAAAGGGGAAAGACCAAGTCAAGAGCAGAACCACAGATACTGACCAAGACCAAGAAGAACTAACTGACCAAGACCTAGAAGAAACTGTTTTGCAAGATTTTTCTGCCGCTGTCTCACGATGAAACATCAGTCATTTCATAGTATGCATCCTGACTTATTGTGTGTAAACAAAATCATAAAACATGTTTAAAACTGGCATGTAGTATGGAATTGAGACACAGTCGATGACTGTTGTTACACAATGTATTCCTCAAAGGAAATTGAGGAGTTTCTCACAGCTGGAAGAAAATTGAAATGGATTGCAGTGATGAAAGACGGCTCCAGTAACACCTCGGAACACACACGAACAAGTATTATGAATCTGTGGGGGGAAAAAAAAGTGTTCTCTGTGTTTGAGTGTTATTCCAAAGTCACAGAGAAAATGACGCCCCTTGGGAAGGTTTTTAGATAATTTTCCCAAAGAACAAAACAGTAAAGTACATTGGTTTTGTGTATGTAAACTGCAAAGCAGCGTACTGTGAAAATTTGGATGTGTAATGTGCACTGAGATACATTTGTAAGAGCTTCGTTCTTATATTTTGAACATCCAATTACTGAAAACACAATATACTGAGAATCTTTCCATCAACAGGCTTCTGCCAGAGAATTGTCTTTGTTTGCTGGCAGGGTGAAACATCTGTGTTTATGTATTTCCAAACAAAGAGAAAGGTGTATCTTGTTTCCTCAGCTGTCTAATGTATAACATCCTGGATTCAAATCAAATTCAAACTTGTCCCTCGTCGCCTTTGTCTGCCTCCCAGTCAGTCCCGTCTTCCTCTTCAGTGAGCTGCCCTGAAAATAGGAGAAAATAACCTCAAAGAAATCTGCAGAAAAAAAAAGTCAAATCAATAACAGAAACCCTGGATGTAAATGTATTTGACAGCTGCTTAAAACATATGATTCGTGTAATTGCGCACTACAGCTGGAAGTTGCACAGGCTTCAACCTCTCTGTTATCAGCACCACCGCCTGAGCTGCAGTCGTTTGGGTGTCGGACCGTATCGGAGTGGCCCTGTTAGCGCTGCTAGATAACAGACCATACCATGACACAGGACTTAAATCACACTGTCACTTTACAGCACCGCCACCTGGGCCTGCGTGACCTGGGTCTCTGCCTCCCAGCCGGCTGCTCCTTCATAGCAGGCGTATGCACTCGAGTTTGGGTTTGTGTGGAAGTGGATGTGTGTGTTTTCATCGGTGAGACACCTTCTCTTGCTTTCTGGTAGTGTGGGCATTTCATTTATCCCTGTGACTGCTTATTCATTCCTGCACTATGTTGTTTCCCAAATGCATAAAAATCATTTAACTGTTTTAACCTTTAGAAGTGAGTTACATCATTGGTCTGCCAAGTTTTGGACTTTTCGCATTGGCTGTTGATTTTTAAAAATGATTTGGCGTGAATATTTTCTGTTACATCAGCAGGGGATCCACAGCACTTTTAATTTTTAGCTAGCTACTTTTTGGACCTTAGCTTCTTTCTATAGAAGAGAGTCGCCAGTACTGCCTCGCGAGCGAGAGGAACACCCATATCTGTGTCCACTCTAGACTCAGCAGCAGTTTTGTTATCCAGATGGAGGCTGCCAGTCCGAACTGCCCTGTTGCCAGTTTTTTAGCCCTTTGTCCTCCTAAAAAAAAAAAAAAACGACCACCAGCTTCTGAACAGACAAGCCGCGTGGTACGCTGGTGAGCCCAAGGGGCACGATTTCCTTGGGCAAATGTTACCACAAATCCGCCAGGCAGCTGGGCTTTCATGGAGGTACCCCAATCACAGCTTGAGGAGCACAGCTGTCCACCTCCTCTCTCAGGCTGGTCTTGAGTTGGGAGATAGTGTCTGTGACTGGGGACAGATGTGAGGGCAGCTACTGGGCTCCAACCATTACAGAAAGGGAATCAGTGGAGCAAGATCCTGTCCTCCAGTCCAGGCAGCGGCAGCAGATCTGCTGAGCGCTGGTTGCCTATTTCTACATAATAACCCTGATAGTGATAATAGTAATACTGTTACCAGTTGTAACATTAGTACGGTTGTTTTTCCAACTGCAAAGCCCCAGCAAGAAGAAAACACAGAGATGAATGAGGACAAATTTATCAACATCAATATTCCCAAAGAAGTCCCATTCACATTGTCTCGCTTCACCATCAATGGAAAATATTCTTGTCTAATGTGAATTATAACACTAAGTAGGCAAATCTTAAGCAGGCTATACAGTGTGCGTTGCTATGGACGCAGTTCCAACTGTTGAGTCTAACAGACTACTAACTTATTGATTTATTTAGTAAGTAACCATGTAATAAGAAGGATAATGTGCAACAAGCAGGTCATTATAGCAAAATTAGCCCCAACAGGGTGATGCAGGACTCTGTATGTGAATGAAAACACGACATGATGATGTCATTAATATTATAATTAGCGTATTAGGTCATTTAGTGATATCTAGCGACTATTCCAGCAGTGCTTTAGATACTTTCCATTGAAAAGTGGTTGTTTATAGCGGTTCTACAGATGTTTTTTAAATACGTCCTGACTTCGCACATTGACCACACACAGTCCAGCCGTATACTAGGATTTATTTGTTTGCATTCTAAAAACTTAACGGCTCTGAAAACCTAAAAACATATTTAACGAGCTTCCCAATCAGCTTCCCATGAGCAGTGGGTCAATGATTCAAGATGAATATAATATATTCTGCCAAAGTTAGAACCATTTTGGTTCTTACACATGAGAGATTTCTCTGTTTGTGTTTTTCTGTGCAACAGAATTTTGCAGTGTTTTAATTAAAATCTGATGGCAGTTGTGGGATTGTTTGCTTGAGTTGCCAGGGCACTGTCAACCAGATCTGATCAAACCATTCCCCACACAGCCTGAGGATGTTAGTGTCAAAATGAACTCGTGTCCTGCAAACAAAGTCATTTAAATCCGTGGTTCTCAAAGTGGGGTCCGGGGACACCCACGGATCCATGAGGGGGTTCTTGGCAGTCAACAGCATAAAGGGGAATCATTTATTTTCACTATAATTCCATCCATAAGTAAGAATATATGACTATTTTATTCATGGATATCAAAAGCTTTCTGTAATAAAACATATATAAGCAACAGTCTTATCAGATGGGGGACTCTGGGACAAAA